CGCGGGGAGGGCACGGCTGGGCAGGGCTGGGCAGGGCTGGGCTGGGCAGGGCGCTTCGGCCACGGGCCGGCCCGGCGGGCGCCCAGACAAAGGCCCCGGCGGCCGGCAGGGGGGTCCGGGGCCCCCGCCCCCTCCCCCAGGGCCCCGGGACGAGTCGGGGCGCCCGCCGGGGCTCGGGGGACGCTCTGCCCGGCCGCCCCCCTGCCCCTCCCCCTCCCCACGCGCGGGGGCTGACTCGCGAGGACGGGGACGCCCCGGAGCCCGGAGCCCGGAGCCGAGCGGAGCGGAGCGGGGAGCAGCGGCGCAGCGAGCAGCGGCCCTGGGCACGGCCGGCCGGACCTCTCTACCTGCAGCTGCAGCAGCCGCTGCCGCCGCTCCCGCTGCTGCTGCTGCTGCTGCTGCTGCTGCTCCTGCTGCTCCTGCTGCTGCTGCTGTTCCTGCTCCTGCTCCTGCTGCTGCTGTCTGAGCTGCCCCGTGGGCAGGCAGGGCTACCAGCCCCCAGAGGGGGGCCCTTCCCTGGACACTGGGGGCTCCGGGGGCTGCGCTCTCGGGCCAGGGGGAGACACTCCCTCCTACGCCTGGGCTCGCCTGCCCAGCGGAGTTGATAGACATCGGAGGAGCCCTCTTGTTTCCCTCTCATGCGAATAGGAGATTGTTCATGTTCTGTCTACTTTTCCCCCTTCTGCTCTTTACCTGTATTTTATACATTGGATGCAAGATTATATTCCGTGATTTTTAGGCTCTCCATTTTAATGTGTCCTCTTTTGAATACTATATTTGAGGGCAGCTATAAATGTATAATGTTTACAGGTGTATTTAAATTGTGTACTGACACCTTACTGCTACGTCTTATACGTGGATGTTATTCTATGGAGATACTAGATTTTAATATATTTTTAATCTCTTATCTGCAAAATGAAATCTGATGCCTCTGGTCTGAGTTGTGTAAAGTGTTGTAATTCCACCTATTGTACAAATTGCTTTAAAGGAGGTTTATAAGGGCTTTAAGACCACAAAAAGTCTTGACGCTCCCCCCCACCCCCCTTTTAAGTTAGGGCAAATAGGACAATTTTTGTTGCTCTCGATTATTGGGACATGGGCTAAGTAATATGTGAAGGCAAGAGTGTGACTGCTTTTTCTTTGCAGTTTTAGAGACTTTTTTTTTTAAGGGCCTTGTTAAGGGCATTTTAAAGAAAGTGACACAAAATAAGCGCCTAGCTGTGGTGCCAGTTCCAAAATCTAAATTCACTTTGGAAAATTGTATTTCTCAAACCTTTGAGTAGAAAGATTTTGAGATTTATTGCGGTTTTTGGTTTGTTTTTTTTTTTTTTTTGTCTTTCATTTTCTTTTTCTTCCCCTCATCTTTTGAAAAGTGGCCAGTAACAGGCTAACTTGTTTTCTGAGCATCTTAAAACAGAGCCTTGCAAGATGGAAAAGGGGAAAAGATTGATCAGAATCTG